ATGTCTTCTGAAAAGTGAGCCTAAAAATAACGTAATAACATAATTATTTACATGGCTAAATCCAAAATATTTCAGGGGGTCGATTGTATATCTCGCAATGAGGTAAAAATTATAAAAGTGAATAAATTCATTAGAATAATTATAATTTCGTTGGCCAATATCTAGTAAATTTGTTCACTTTTGTAATTTTCACCTATTTCATTTATTAATAATTACATTTTGTACTTACTTCACAAATATGATGATATTTAGACAATTGCCAATTTTTTCTTCCAATTTTTTCTAACCATAATGCTCGCCGTTCTAAATTAGATGGAAAACGTTTCATGGAAAAACCTTTCTCACTGCTATTGTAACATCCAACTATACAACAACCAGTCATTTTCTATAGTAATAAATTTTCAACTAATAAATCAAATTATTTAAAAAATTATTTTAAAAAGGTTAGAATGTCATTTTTCTAATTTATAATGCCTTTATATTTGCCTTTTTCTTTCAATTTCTTTTCAATCAAAAAATTATAATATATAACCTTACCTCTTTATATCAATTAAGCTTTAAATCAATTTACTGAGGTACGTTAATTTATTTAATTCGCAAACACTCGATATTCATACGTAACTTGCAGCAATAAGTATTGTCGCCATTTTGCTTCAGATCAACATTGGCCAGACTCTTAGTATAGGGACTCTAGAAGCGACTTGTTTCAATGGCTGCGTTCAGCAGAACGTTTGTTTTGCAACTGTTGGAAGTTTCCTTCGCGCTAATTGGATCATACTTTTAGATCTAGAAGAATGGTCCTATCTCAGCAAACAATCATAAAACGGTTGCAAAACTGTTGAGTCTGCTGAACGCAGCCAACGCCATATATGTACAGAACGCGTCAAAATTTGATGTACGTACATACCTCACGAGCACACCTCTTCTTTGTTATGCTATGCACCCAAGAAGACTAGAACTAAGGAGGATCAACTCGCGTGGTGGGGGTAAGTCAAAAAACGTCCGCAGCTATTCACACGATGTGCAGCGGCACTGCGCATTGTGTGAAAGTTCGATATAAGAGCGACAAATTGACGATTATAGAACGACAGAGCGATGACTATATAGAGCGACAGAGAGGACTAATGAAGCGCAAGAGTGGGGGAAGTTATCCGTCGCCACTTTTTGCCTCACCCCCACTACCGCTATTGGCACGAGTTGAGCCTCCTTAGTTCTAGTCTTCTTGTATGCACCAATCTGGGTTGGATTAATCTTTCCTATTGGTTGACGTTACATGATCTACCAATTGGAGAGCACAAAACGCCATTAATCCAACCCAGGTTGATGCAAACCCGATCGGGTGGAAAACGCTATTAAGGTTTGTTCGCGTCTTCGACATACTCTAATATGCTCTTACCATAGCTCCTACTTACTCTATCGAGCGCGTTGGAGTGAGTAAGAGCTATGGTAGGAGCATATTGGAACATGTTGGAGCATGCGACGCGAACAAACCTTATGCTGCGGCCATTACTGGCTGCTTTCTCTGCTGAACGCAGCCATTGAACTTTGGCTGCGTTCAGCAGACTCAACAGTTTTGCAACCGTTTTATGATTGTCTGCTGAGATAGGACCATTCTTCTAGATCTAAAAGTATGATCCAATTAGCGCTAAGGAAACTTCCAACAGTTGCAAAACAAACGTTCTGCTGAACGCAGCCTTTGTAACCATTGGGTGCATTCAGTACAACCGCTCATTGAGCGCTCATTAAGCGCTTGCATCTTATTGGCATATTCCGTTAGAACTAAAAATATAGACCAAACAGAGACAAGCGTTCACTGAGCGTTTAGTGAGCGGTTGTAGTACTGAATGCACCTATTGGTAGCCATTAAGCTGAGGTTTGTTCGCGTCGCATACTCCAACACGTTCCAATATGCTCCTACCATAACTCTTACTCACTCCAACGCGTTTGATAGAGTGAGTAAGAGCTATGATAGGAGCATATTGGAGCATGTTGGATCTTGCAACGCGAACAAATCTCTGGTTCTACATTTATCATCTCGCAGCGTCGGAAGCGTGTCGTAAACGTTGCAATCCAACGAGTCTAGCTCGACTCTGATTGGACTCCAACGGTTGCGACACGCTTGCGACGCTGCGATGCGACTAATGTAGAACCAGCTTAATGTAGAACCAGCTTTACATGATATGATACAAAAGCATGATAAGCATCATAATCATAAATAGCACTTTTGTATCTATCAATCACGAAAATAATTCGCTCCATATATAGCGGTGAGATTCATAATAAATAATGTGTTTCGATGTGGCGGAAAGAGAATGCAATTAATATTTGATAAAGATTGATAGATTAACGGTATATTTCTATGCAAACAGATTATGGCAGAAAAAGGTGCTCATTTGACTGGGACCGCATACATCAGGCCTTCTATCTTTGAAATTATTGCACAAGAATCGCTTGCGTCAACTCTTGAACCGGCTTTTAAAAAAATTCTTTCGGTATACACTCTGTTATTTAGTATGTTCCTCATAATGCCATGGTATAATGCTGCGCTTTAAAGTCTCAATTGTTTAGTAAATGCATAATTTTTCTTAAAACATATTTATCAAAATAATTTTTAGACATTTTTATTAAATCAAATATGTGTATTAACAATATGATATTTATCTAGAAGACGCTCATCACTTTCAATTTCATTGAAAACTAATTCTCTAATGTAAAAACAAAATTTATATAGAACAAATTATATATAGATTGTGTTTCTAAAGCAGAAAATTTGTATTTTTAAAGCAGAGAATTTGTGTTTTTAAAACAGAATTTATTCTTAAAGCAGAAAATTGTTTATAAAACAAAGAATTCATCTAACCCTCTACGCCATCGATGTGACAGATTTCCTAACCTAACAATAGTTAAACGTGCGCGATTAATCTTTAATAAACACCTGTAGGTCATTCGGGTCTTGCGCCTTTCTTTTCTTTGAAATACTAAGATCACCGGTCAAATATCGGTCCCTTTTCTATTCCTAAAAAAGTTTGGCATTTAGAGAACAAGTTTTATGCGTTGCCGGCTTCAATTTATGCGTATCCTTTAACTAGAACAGCCCCGAAGTGATTCACCTCTGAATCACAAATGACCCACTGTGTGTGTATAGAGTGTACATTTTTTGTAACTAAAACAAATTTTGTTTTCTTTATTTTCAACTAATTCTTGTTTGTATTGCGAGAATATTTCGTGAATTATTAAAAGAAGAATTTAATCCTAGAACAACATATTAGCTCTTAATAAACACAATGATTTTGGCACCTTGTGTTAAATGTATATGATATATATTATGTTGTCTGTAATGTTACAAAGAACATAAATTCTAATAAATTCTAATAAATTAAAAATTTTTGTTAACACAATAGCAATAATAAATTAAAATGCATTTAAAATGTAAATGCAATGTATCTTCAATTTATATAGCCATTCATGTATATTTAAAAAACTTCATTTTTAGGATACTAAATAATTAAATTTTTTGAACAACCGACATTTGAACTATTTTTTCTTTTGTAGTTTGAAATTTCAACTTTAAAATATTGAAACATATTTTTCTTTCAAACATTTTTGTTTCAGAATTTTATATGTTTGTATGTAAAAGTATATTTTTCTCATTTTGTTATAACATTTAGTTATAACAATTTATACACAATTTGTTATAAATATACAATTTTACAAATACTTGTAAAGATGTCAAAATATAATTAAAAATCGTTTAATAATTTTTATATATTTGTAAAAGTGGTGAAAATTAAAAAAAAACACGAATGGATATCGAACGTGTGCAGTAAAGGTACTCAAAATTTAAGGTGTGTACAAAAGTTACAAAAAACTTTAATGATATTAATATCTTGCTTCTAGGGACTGAGCACAATATTTTAATGCCAGATTCTTTCATTTCATGCAAAAACTACGTTGAATGAGCATATCATTGAAATTGAAGATTAGGAGCATCTTCTGGATAACCCTAAGTTTTTTAAAAAATATATTGCTATTACATAATTGTTTATAAAATAGTAATCAGTCAACATATATTACATTACATTTAAAAAATCGTTGATTGTTTTACATATGTATGAATTATGTTTATATTATATTTCGTATTCTAAAATATAAATCTTTAATCTTAATATAATTTTAGTTTCTTGTATCTTTCAATCTTGACAAATATGGGCATATTCTTCAATGGACAGATGAAGGGTATTTAATTTTTAATGTATTTCTTCAGCAATATTACCTAAAGAGATATTGTAAGTATCTTTCTAATATATGATGTATCTTAATGTCTTCATATAATTTCTTGAAAAAATAAAATGTTATATCATTTTTAGCTGCATCATTTTCTGAAACATTTTATGGTTTGAAACGTGTCACAATAATTAATTCCAAGACAGGGTTACAAGAAAAATTATCACATAAACAACAAATATTATCATTAATAATATTAGTGACATTTCCATATTTAAGGAATAAACTTGTGCAACTTAGTTTAAGATATAAACTTCAAAACATAGACAGTACATCAAGAAAGGCAAGTAAAAGAGATATAACCATCATTTTTTAAAATGTACACAGTATGTTTAAAAAGATACAACTCTTCTATATAAAAGTCAACGAATTCAGAGGCTAGTCTTTATTCATTTCAGGTATCTATATAGTCTCCTTCCTTCTCGATACGTGCAATAAAATGGCAGTGCAATGATTGGAAACTGTTATAAAATTCCTCTTCCGGAATTATCTTTAGCTGATGTGTTTTAATACATACCTCGGATCGTTGTTACATTATTAAGAATTTCTTTTTTTAAGTATAATTTTATATTAGAAATATAAAAAAAAATATTCACTCAATATTGACTTATAAAATAAAAAGTCTGCCGAGATTAGGTGAATATAGGAATTACTATAACCTGTTTTTTGGCCAAAAACTGTGAGACAATCCTGGCTATGTATGCAGGTGCGTTGTCATGGAATTGTTCCTTTAGGTCAAATTGTGAATTTAGTACGTAAATTATATAACAAAAAAAATTCCAATGATATTCACATAATGTATTGATCTATCATGAATATTGATACAATTTTCTTGGACGTTTCGGTTTTTCTTCAAACCATCTTCAGCAAGTTGTAAATAATTTTCGTCGATGTCTTAATAACATATAGTCCGTAAATGTTGGAAGGATATTCTATGTGAGACCGAGGATGAGCATATTTCTACTGTATGGATGGGAGTTGCCATAAATTGTCTCTTCGCTGTTAAACCAAATGACTAACCTCTGTCCAAAAGAATCAAAGATATTCTTATGAAAAGTATAAAAAATTGTTAAATGTGTTATCCAGATGAAAGTCAGACAAGTACTTACAATTTTTTATTCTTTTATGGCAACTTCCATCTGTACAGTAGGGATATGCTCATCTCCTCGGTCTCACGTAGAATATCTTTCCAACATATGCGGACTATATTTTGTCAAGACATCGACAAAAATTACCTTTCCAACATTTGCGGACTATATGTTATTAAGACATCGACGAAAATTATTCATAACTTGCTGAAGATGGTTGAAGAAAAACCGAAACGTCCAAGAAAATTGTATCAACACTCATGGTAGATGAATATATTGTATGAATATCACTCGAATTTTTGTTATATAATTTACGCACCAATTTCCGCGCTGTATTAACACTCTCATTGCCCGCATACTTTATTATTGTATTTTTTTTTTTTAATTTCGAGAGCCCTATTATTTAAATTTTGTTTTTGTAAATTTAGTTTAGAATATGAATTTTATTTAGAGGTTTTAAAATGCTTTTGGAAGGATTGGGACGCATTAGGCACAATTTAAGCACTTCTGCATTTGGTGTCTCCTGCATGACAATGTACCTGTGCATGCAGCCAAGATTGTCTTGCAATTTTTAACTAACAATCTACCACCTTCCATATTTATCTAACTTGACTAAATCTAACTCTGGCAGACTTTATTGTCTTCTAAGATAAAATTGCGCTTAAAAGGAAAGTTTTTTTACGATATACTAGCGATCTAAAGCAATAGAATGTGTCAGCTAAATATGATTTTAGAAGAGGAGTATTATAATAGCTTTCAATCATTGTATGTGTCGCTATTTTATTATGTACATCAAGAAAATATAGAATTATATAAAAGCCTGGTACGAATAAAAGCTAATATCTAAATTCGTTGATTTTTTAGAATTTTGTCTGTTAACTTTTCAAACATGTTTTATATGTGTGTGTTGTACAGTAATTTCTTAATATATTAAATATTTCTTGATACACAGAGGAGGCAAAAGTTTTTCAGTAAATGTGTCGTTAAAGGACTTTCAATTCTTTTTGTAACATATGAAACTCTCGTGTTATACAATTATATACTTTACGTATCTGAGAAATCAATATATCCATCACTCTTGCTAAGGCTACTATCTGTTACACTGACATATGCTGATCTACAATCTGCTCTCACTGTCACCGAGTTATTAAGGAAGATCAAATATAATTCATTCACTGTCTCTGATGGATGGAATATACTTCAAAGAATCATTACTGGATCTCTTGAACTCGGAGCTTTCTTCTTACAATTTCTTTCTTGGTGGAATCAGGAAAATTATGACATGGATATTATGAGTCTTCCAGCTCCACCACCACCAAAGGTAAAAATAAATACAATGAATTAGCACAATATAATTCCATTATATCGATATAATTTAAATTACTAACAAAAACGAAATATAATCTTTTGTTTTAATAGGTGCCAAATGTAGCACAGCAATATAAAGGAATTTGTCCACTTTGTCGTAAGCCTCATCATATACATACCGTGCTTATGATATCTGGGTAAATAGATAATATTTTAGCACTCAATTAGTTTTTCCTATTTTATTTTTAAATAAAATACAAAATTAATTTTACGCCATTTTTTTAGTTACATATTTTGTTATCAATGTATTTTGTCGGAAATACGGATAAAGAAGAAATGTCCAGTTACACATTATCCTGCCAAAGAAGATGATCTAATTCGTCTATATATAGAATAATAAATTTTACATGCATGTAATTTTTCATATATGTTGAATATAATATACTACACATGTAAATGTTAACAAACTCGGAAAATAAGTGTTGTGAGAAGAAGTTGGGCTTTATTCATTTTATAAATGAATTACATATTTCAAGAAAGTTATTTGGCGTTGTATATCTTCAGTTTAGTTGTTTATATATATATATATATAAAATACGTACCACGTAGGCCCGTGGTAGTATAGATGGTCTTCCCTCTAGTTTTAAAATAAAATAAAGTTAACACTATACATGTTTCTGTCGGCGAAAAAAAAAAGGGTTCAGATGTGGAATCCTCGCTAGAGAGAAGATGAGTCGTAATGGATCTCAACAGGATACCATGATCCAACCGTGCAGAGGTAGATGTACTCAAGACGGCGTAACTTTTACAAATGTCAAGCTATGGCGATAAAATTTGGTGGAAATGTCAATGATAGATGTGGCAACCTAACCAAAAAAAACAGAACTCAAATCAGCTGACTCAGAGCATCACCTGGTGGTAATTCCGGGAACTTTTTGATCAAGGTTTTGTGTGTGTGTGTGTGTGTGTGTGTGTGTGTGTGTGTGTGTGTGTGTGTGTGTATATATGACTTGCAGAGGGCGATATGCCCATTTTTGTTTTGGCAATCGGACTTTAAAGTTTAGACTTTAGACTATAGTGTCTTCCAGGAATAGGAATGATTAGATGGATTTGATTTGTGTTGGTGTGTGGAAATTCTAGTTAGTCTTATCTAATTATGGATGCGCGCGCGCATGCAACATTGAATGCTGACAATAGATTTCCGTAAGAGATTTTAACAATGACTTATTTAACAATGATTGATCTTCTGGCCCAGCGAGCACTCACTAAATTACCGGTGGTCTATCAGTCAAATTTATGAAATAAACTTAGACAATAGAAAAACTGAATTTTAATTATTTCGATTATAGTTATTAATTATTTTAAGACATTTAAGAATCAGTATTCAATCTACCGCGCTATCTTAGAATTAATTGTTCTCTAGTTTGTACAAAATAGTTTCTGGTAAACATTTCCACGAAAGAAAAGAATCGTGAAGTCCTCCGGACGTAACAGGATTATCTATCGTTTTATTTAACAAATCGCGTAATTTGATATTCAAGAAATTCGCTGAACTGTACATTCACGTTCGAGCATATGTATGTAACTCAAAAATGGTATACTTATACGAAGATGTATATACTACATCGCAATTGTATTTACGGTTTACTAGTTTTCGTATTTATTAACACTTACGATCTTTTTTTTTACTGATGATTCGATCCAAACCAAGGATCGAAATATTTATGTATCTTTTAAATAAATGGAAGTTTACATCCCCGTAGACTGTGCTGACTGAAATAGGCTTATACTTTATACATTGCTAAATTAAGATAGTATACATTCACGATAATATCATTCAAAAGTTAGGTCCCATCGCGCGCTCATTGTCAGTGACGATAATCTCACTAATCTCACTTCCGCCAGTAGTGAAAAAAATCTTTTGTCTGCTCCTGTCTATAGACCGCCCGTACACGCGGAAAAAAATGAATACACATAGGCCGATATTTATAGTCAGATCTCATATTCAAGACCATCTTTAGTACAGTCTTAAGAAGTCATAAACCAATCAAAGGGCCGCATTAGCGATTTAAGACGGTCTTAAAATAAAAACCGACTATGAATACCGGTCTTAGACGCAGATTAATGCAACTCATTGCTATCTCTCTTCACGACGGATTGATACGTTTACAAAAAAGCATTTTTTTATGGCTCTATTTTCCAAACTAAATAGTAAAAATTATTATTTTTTCTCATAATATCCGTTTCATGTTTCTTCATCGCATCCTCCCTTTTTATTAATATATCTCTACTAGTTTAGACTCTACAAACATAAACGCGACATTTTCATGAATTTTGTATAAACAACATGTATAAAAAGTACAGCTGTTAATTGCTTACATCTCAGTATTGAAACAGTTAATTTCGTTGTAAATGCACAAGTGTGTCAACGTCTTCTAGTACAATGTATAGTTTTAATTTCAAGAAATTCTGTTTTCAATTCGCGAGTATACTACCTTAATAATTATATAAAATTGAAGTTACAGGTTTTTGCCTATTTACTGCAACTATCTTAGATCTGACACTAATATCGAAAAAATGTATAAAGAAAATTTTTGCAAAATATATTAAAATATATTTTTCAATAGAACAGATAATCTTCAATTGATAAAATAAATTTGTAAAATATACCAGAAAATATTCAACACCGTTGTGTTGAATACTTCGGTAATCAATAAAAAACCATATATTTGGAATTAAATTGTACCTTTTTCAAAAGACGAAATATATTATATGATAGCTGTCAAATCGAAATAAATATTATTTTATTTTATTCTAAACTAAAAGGAGAGATTTGAGTATATTTTACAAGTGTATTCTATCAAATGGAAATATTGTTTGATTGAAAAATATTTATATTTTAATGTTTCGCAAAAATTTTATTTATGTATCTTTTTGCTTTTGACATTACAATTCAATACATAGTAATCAAGCATGAGCCTTAATTCGTAACTTTATTATAGTTTTGTATTTAGCACATTATTTGTCTTCAGCATATCATTTTGTACTATTAGGTTTGTGTTGCAATAAATGCACATCACGTTCAATTTCAAATTCGACAGCTTTTTTAGCATTATACGATTGAAAGAAACGTTTGCCATGTTCGAAAGTTGCAATCATAATTGCACAGGCTGGGGCTACTTTCACCAAACGTGGTATTAGTCCTGTGAACAAACCTTTTAATCCATCCTGATGATAAATCCTTTGTATTATAGTCCATGTAGTACTGCTGCGAATAGGTTTATCTAAAAATTCACATTAATAAATTTTATACAGTGTTCAGCGTAACGATCCGCACGATTTTTCAGACACTTCTGACAGTTAAAAAAAAGTTGGAAGGTAAATATTAATCTGTTTTATACATGCTACAATAGTGAAAAACATGATTTAAAGAAAATTTTTTTCATAAAAAAATTGAAGTTATCTTAAATTTTTTAAGTAGTGCCATACAAATTTTTGCCATAATATTGTAGGGGTCTTCAAGACGAATACAAATCACTATTGAAATGTCACTTTTTTTTTATTGATTTTATTGATACTTAATATCAAATTTTCAGCATTATTTGTAACAGCAGTACAACCTCTAACTAAAACATAGAACATAAATACGTACATACATGTACTTATTTAATCAAATATGCAATAAAATCAGTAAAACATCAATAAAAGTGACATTTTGATAGTGATTTGAATTAGTCTTGAAGACCCCTACAATATTATGAAAAAAATTGTATGGTGCTATTTAAAATATTTAAGATTACTTTGATTTTTTTATTAAAAAATCAATTTTATTTTTTTGTCTCATATTGTAGCCAGTATAAAACAGATGTATATTCATCTTTCAACTTTGTTTTTTATCTATCGGAAATATCTTAAAAATCGTACGGACCGCGCGCGCGTTATGCTTTGAACATCTTGTATACATATATAAAATAATTACCTGAATAAATTTCTTTTTCGCCCATTTCAATTTGTCTATGTGTTTTTACTACATCAAAGGGAATAGTAAAAAATGCTGCTATCTACAATAATGTTTACATCTTAGCATATCTTTTTGGAATATATAAAATATTGTAATTATATTTTTGAAATACATACAGATCCAGCTACAGCTCCTGCTACCAGATTAAAAGTAAAAGTCTGCTGTGAACTACACAGTCTCTTTATAGTTTCATAATTTAACCAGTATATAGCACTAAAAGGAACGTCACGAAGAAGAGTTGAACTCAATCCCATCCATAAGCCAGAAATACCACTATATTTCACAACTATTTTTAATGTCTGTGTTATTTCTGAAACACATAAAGCACATTTGAAATCGCCAATCTTCTTTTAAACTTCTTTACATATTAATTTGATATTACATTAATTTATCCTACCTGCATAACTTAGTTTCTGTGATTGCATTTTTGTTCTTATCAACTCCAATGGACTCACCAGTGTTGCAGCCCAGATTCTTGCTGTGCCACCAGCTAATATAGGAATCCAGAAAGGTTGTTCCACATTGTTTCTCTTCTTTTTAAATTCTCTATTATATGTATCCTAAAAATACACACACACGCATACGCACATGCACGCGCACATACACATACGCACACGCACACGCACGTACGCACGCGCACACACACGCACACACACACGCACACACACACACACACACACACACACACACACACACACACACACACACACACACACACACACACACACACACACACACACACACACACACACACACATTAGATATTTCATCTAAAGTTTCTATCATGTATTATATATAAATAAAGCTAAAAAAATTATCTCGCACATACACACGCATACAATGAAAATACTAATACCTTCAAATATAATCTTAATTGTTCATATGAAACAAAATAAACTACAGTTGCAGGTACAGCTAGAATAAGAGTAGGACTCAAGCCACTCCATAATGATGCTATACCTTCTGTTTCACTTATTTTTAATAAAGCATCCTGAAAATAAAATTAATAAAATCAACAAATGAGTGGACATTATTAATATTGTATTAAGGTTTCTCTTTGATATTATGATTATCTATATGATATTATGACTGTGTAGTGTGTATTCTATATATCTTATTACATTTTGATATCAGAAAAACAAATAATTATATGAATCTTATCTTATACTTTTTGTTAAAATAAATTTTTTTTTGTATGCTTATATATAATAATGTACAATGATTCAATATACCAAAACTCTTTCAAGTAAATAGATCTAATTCAGTCAGCGTATGTTTTTCATTTCTAACAAAATTGTACCTTACAATGCTTGATCAAGAGATTTATAGATTTTTATTTATTAATATTTATACTGAAAAGTTTTTGTCAATTATATATTTTATCAATCTAAATAAAAAGTATATTCGAGAAAAAAATATAAAAATTAATTTGTTATAATATGTAAGTAGTGTAAAGAAAAGATTTGTATGATATTGCATTTCAAATATCATAATTCGTATGAAAACAGAAATATTAAATGTCATAATTATATAGTAATTACATACAAATGTCCCATTAAATTTTCCATTTTTTTTCATCCAGTCAGGCATTTTGCCATTGGTACACGGACATAAATGATCCATTAAACCATTGCAATATAAAAAACATTTATTTGAAAGCATGGCTTTTTGTTGTGTTTGTAGACGTATTTTTACCACATCCAATGGAGTCACTAGTAAAAACATAAAAAAACATAAACATTCAAAATTTTACTTACAAAAGGTGCACAAGCAACCAAAGAGATTAAAACAAATGTAATT